CAGTTGTATCCCACCTCGAATATATCCCCAAAAAAGTTCCGTCCCAAAGTGGGGATATAAACGAGGTATGACTGTATGTTGTCGAGCCCAATGAATAGTTCAGTCTCTGGCCAATCAAGCCTTTAGGTACTAGAGTGTTGCCAATCCTCATCGACCTGGTCTGCAGTGTGCTAATTACACCAGTCTGTGTGGACTGCCGAGTAGTTTGCAGCACATACCATCATAAAAATAACAAAGTTTGCGATTTTGTGTTACGTGGAAAGTCAATCGCGAAGCCTATATGGAAGGACATTGAGATGCAGTAGCATAATAATAAATTAGTGTAAGGTCGAACAGAGTAACACAAGTATAAAGAAAGAAAGTCATATCGTAAAGTAGGCAAATAAAAGGAACTGAAATAAGCAAATCACTGTTTACAAGAATAACGAAATGGGTGACTTGCTGCTTAGGAAAACTTCTCACCTTCCAGTCACTGTCAGAAAATTTCCGACTTTTTGAATGCGTGCGAATTTGCGTTTCGGCGGAACGTCTCACAAACGTCATATGTACTGTACATAACAAACTTTATTGAGAGAGATTGATAAAAGATCTCTCCAATTCTTCTATTCATATTCATTCTATAAATAGATGTTCCGTGGGATCAAAATGCGGAGAACGAGAGGAAATGTCCCTGCAGATTACGGTGGGGAAATCGATATTTGAAAGCCAAAATAAAAGGAGGGGCAAAAATAGTTTGTGCATCACTGACAGTTTTTATTACAAAAAAATGCGAGAAAAAAAATTAAGAAAAAAAAATTTTTTAATAAACTAAAATAAACTAAAGCAAGCGGAAACCTATTTGATTAGTAGAACTTTGCTTCGATATTCCGAACGTTGTAAAGTCGTTGTTAATATAGTTTAATTCGATGCATCTGAAACTTGTTCTGATTCTTAACATGCCGAACATGTAACCATTCCTGAAACGCTTCCCAGATAACTTTTATTGGGTCAAGCAAGTCTGATCGGCTTGAATCCAATCTTAGCCTCGATTTGTTTATGCACTTCTTCTTCTTCTGGCTTTTCGTTACTTTCCCAACCACATCCACTCTTCCCACGTGATAGGCAAATGTACACATTTTTGCTAACAGCGTTCGCATCCTTTTCACGTACAAAGTGGACGGAATTTGTCAAATGGCAATTAGGACAAGTATATGTGTCGTTATTTAATGGAGTTATTATATCGTGTGTTCCGAGAAGAAGGAAAGATTGCAATGGTTTGAGGAGGAAGGATGGGGAAACAGGGTCTGGATTTCGGGCGATGGTTGTAGTTTTGGTGGGAGTTTCTTGGACAAATATGGGCTGAAATTTGGTCTCATTTATTATAGAGGCTAGATTGAAAGTTAGGGAGGGAATCAGTGAGCAATATTCAAATAGAGTGTACACAATGTGTTTATGGGACCACCGTCTTACTTACGTGACGCATTCTTCTTAGTGCTGGCAACTCGACGCAGGCTTCGATTAGGGAAAACTTTTATCGTATTGATCTGAAAACAATTCTATCATCAAATACGGTCCAGTGCTTACAGTTAAATGTAGACAAGCCTCGGATTCGTCAACTTACCACAAGTTTTACAGTCTTGTACATTCTCCCCTTTTCACTCTTCATAGTATCTTCTTTCATGTTTACAAGTTTACTTCTTATAATGCTTATTGAGAAATAGAGTTGTCAATATTAAAGTGTTTGTATAAACATAAACTGGAGAGGACTTGGAATATCCCACTAAACAACGGAAGGGAGAGTGGTGCCCTTTTATGTCAATAAACATCCATACTAAATAAGGATAGATGTACAACCAACTGTCTCTTGATTAAGTGATACATTATTCGGGAATACTGCAGCCGCTCAATGACATCCCTTACAGATATCACAAGTCCAACTAATTGGTCATAGTAAATTCGATTGTTACGTTCCGTAGGTTAATACCGAAGCTGTATGTTTCACAAGGTAAAATTTGAGCCCGGCTTTTGTAAGGTGATTCTCGATCTCCAAAAGGCGCCGACAACGCCACCCATTTTTTCTTACAAAGCGTATGAAAGACTTTTCTAGCATGTCATTTTTGGGTAAATTTATTCCTTTTATGTCGGCTGATCTATACAAAAATCTCAACAAGGTAAGACTTGTTTAGTTACGTCGTGATTACAGTATTAGTAAAATATTGTGTCATCGTAAAATCGTACTATGACATCATACGACTAGAAAAGATTTTGCCAATACGATCGATCGTCTTTATCTAACGAAAGCAATTATTCGCGTATGTGCATCAGATATTAAGTTAATAAAGTATTACACTACCAGCGACACAACGTGCAACTCTAAACAAGGAGAAGGACATGTTATAGAATATTTTCGCATGGGAACCTATGTATGCGGTAGATCAGAATAGAGAATATCAGATCAGGAACGACTTCTTTGTGAGCAGAATTATAAGTTCTACGAATATGGCCTTAATGCAAGCTTGCGCTAATAGTGAGTTGCAAATTAAGTAGGGCTTCAAGGGTTGAGTCGGTTGAAGTATACAAATTCGAGGACTTGGAAGCAAACCAAAGGGAATAGAACGAATACGTTAGAACGTATCATGTATGTCGCAGCAGAGAAAAGTGGGGGTTTCCATTGGAGAGGATGATCAACGGGTATTACTATGGGATTGTCCCTATATGCTTCCATTTATTACATAACATGTATTCATCCAGATGTTTTACTGGTGCATGGGATTATTATTATTGTAATGTAATGATCCCGAAACGGGTCAAATCCCAGAATCGGCCGTAACAAGTATGTTGGTATCAAAAAGTGAGATGATCAAGACAGCATTACAATATTGGAAGTAAAGTTATTGTTTTGCTCCAAGTTGAGGACAGACTTCATTGAATTCCAATCACATGGTCTGCATGCAGAATTTAGTAGATTATCAGTACAAACGATTACCTGTGCCGCAAAATCGATACTAATTTATTATTATTATTATTGTTATTATTATTATCGTATGTGCCAAGTGACCGCATTATTCGACTCGTACAATTCCAAATTAAATCTTTGCTTATTGAAGAACGAAAGGATAAAGTGGGTAATCAAACACACCAATTGAGTTATTCAACATACTGATGGAAACAACTCTACTCTCAGGTATAGATAAGCCTTTCGGTTATCAATTGTTTTTGAAATATCATTACTTACAGTACATTACGTTTGATCAGTTGGTCAATTCATTTAGGAACCAGTGAATCCGTCTCGTAATGCAAGCGTCTATTTTAATACGCATGAGGTGACAGCTAGAAATTAACGCATTGCTGTTAATGACGCGTTTTATAAATTCATTATTGTTTGAATTAACTGATATACATAGACTTGCGGGAAAGCATTGATCCGCCGAATCTTTTTTTTTTTACGCAAAACGTCCAGTTACTGCTGTGCTGACAATTTTATTAGATTACATAATGGTTTCAATGCATTATGTAAGTTTCGATCTACTAACTATTTATGTAAAGCATAATCTGAGCAATTCGGGGTTTGTGAGCGCGTTAACAACTTGTGGTAATGAAAAAGGTGTGCGTTGGATTACCTGACACAGGAGTTCCGGACAAGCTTACGACTGAATTAAATAGAGTTGGTTCCACTCAAGGACAAAAGACAACGAAAAGTACTGTTCTGTGATATATAACAATAATAGCCTCAAATTGGAGCAATATCAATACTTTAGTCGACGTGTTCTCATCATCATCATGTATCCCCGTTAATAGAAGATTTTGTCATATGAATGCCAAAATGTGTGGCTTAGGAACTAACTCTTAAATTATCCAGGCGTCATTGTGAAGTTCAATGACTTGAGTTTGTAGTAGTACCTCAAAGTGGGAGAAAACTGAGGCAACAATGCCTAACATTATGGTACAATGTATGTCAGCTTTACACTTTACTATCTCTAAAAGAAAAAAGCGTAAAGCATATTCTAATCTTCTGTGCGTATTTTAATTGAATAGAGACTGTAACACAATTCTCACATGCATCGCATCGCAATAAGTGTGCCGTGTTGACTAGACTTGTATCCAACGCATATTAATATTTCTTACCCATGAGTTATTCTTCTCACCTTTGCTCTACTTGTGATGTCCTGAGAGTTCAACTAAGACTAAAAGAGGATCAATTGAAGGCGAAAGAGGACCAGTTGAAGGCGAAAGATGATAAAATATGTCAGTTACAAGAAGCTGTGATACAGATACAGAAAGATCTTATCGCTGCTAAGGAAGAAACGTTACTCATAAAAGGTCTGCATGAGTTAACACTGAGTAAGTAATATGAAGATACTGCTGTTATTTGAATTTGGACATAGTTATTCCGAATAAAATGAGTTATTGAAACGGTGATAAACAATCAATCCGGTTTCTAATTGTTTGATCGTTTCTATAATGAATGCCTTCGCATTCTTCTGTTCTCATAGACTCTCAATCTCGTCCAGTTTCATCAAGTACGTCGCGTAGTTTTATGACTGGCTCATTTATTGATTCTGGTAAGTAGTTCCCTAACAACAGTGTCGTTTGGTGATGGTATGTGTTGGCAGCGTTGGAATTAAGTTACTCCACAATTGCCCTTGATAGGTAGAACTCCTACAAGTGATACGTCTAGCGAAATAGAATGGGTGACCAGCGAAGGTTCAAGACCTAGAGGCAAGCACACTGTGATCCCAATTGCGTACTTTACATTCGAGCCTCTCACTTTGACTAAATTCTTTGCATGCTATTGGTACAGATGTGATACGGGAGCACCGCGCTTACGTAGGAAACGTTGGAGCTGATATTAGTAAATCAAAACTAAAAAGGATACTTGAACATCAAATAGGATCGGTGCGTTCCATCGACGTGGTTGTTGATAAGGTAATCTCTTGATTTATTGTACATGTTTGGGGATCATACACACACACACACACAGACGCAATAACTGTTTCGGGCATAAGCTTTTGGGAATTCAATTACTTATTTGCTTTGTTCACTCATATAGCACTGTGCCTTTGCTGAATTTGCAACACGAGAAATCTATAATATGGCCGTCAGCATTGGATTTGTTGTCGTAGATGGACGTAAATTGAAAATAGAACCAACGAAACCACCGCGAAGTGCGATCAGGAAACGACGATGAATTGTACATTAACGATAAAGCGACATGTAATGACCGTTGAATGAATGCACGGCCATGTCTATAGTTTGATAAACGGACGACGCATGATCTTCTGTATTTGTCATTCTGATTGTAACGAGTAAATTGTGATTCAAGAGTATCACAAGCATATTGTTTATTAATACATTTATTCAATTTCATCCCCTACAATCCATCATTGTATATACCGTGTCGTTGTGTTTATATATCGGAATTTAGCATTTCGTTACATTTTTGTTACATTTTTACAATCGGCAATATTGAAATTGACATCACTTCAATGCAGGATACTGACTGGAATGTTGGCTGAACCTGCCAGCATTAGAAAGGAAGAATGACTTGTAACAAAAAACAAAAGGAGTGACAATCATGTAGCTAAATCTGGAAGAACAACATGATCAATCACTTTCTTGTCTAGTATTCTGCGACGACTCACCTAAACCCAACGCCATTATCCCAAGAGGACCGTTCATATCCATAATAACGACCAGTGCAGTGTCGGCACATACATCCTTCACCATAATAATAACGGCAGCAAAAACAGCAGAATCGACAATAGATGCAATATTCTATGTGGCAATAGTAACAACGACCGTAGTATCGACAAAGGGAACAATAACAACAGTAGTGACCACTATTTACGTGGCAACATTTCCGTAGCGTAGAGTGTATCGGCAAGGGAATTGTTTGTTGTGGGATTGAGGTCGATTTGGGAGGGTTAGCAGGTGCTTGATTTTGGATTGGCTGATTATAGTGTTGGTATTTCGGTGTCGATTTAGGAATTGATTGAAAAGAAGGAAATTGTGGCTTGCTACGTATTAGCATTTGCGGAATGAAAGAGATATTAGACTATAGGAAGAAGTAAATATCGAGGTGAGATAGAGCGTGACAATATTCCGCTATTAATGTCCTCTCCACCAAATAAACGAATGAGTGCAGTTGGAATAGTTCGCGTGTTTCAGTAACAAGTCAAAGAAAGACGTAAATGTCTCATTGCGTAAAACGCGCGTTCTATCCTGGACTTTATGTCATAAAGCCGTCATTCTATCTTCACGTGATAAATATATATCAAAATCGCAATTACATTCTCTTCGCCGACAATTCTTAAGTGTATTCTCCGATTAATCACGTGCAGGATATACCATCAGCACCACTATTTGAAAGTCAAAAGACGTTTCGTTGCCTCTCCCACAGAAGGCGTAGAGACGTATTTAAGCCACAGAGGAATAGTTTATGTGAATCAGATAGTTGCAAATCTTTTCTTCAAAAAATTTTTTTGGCATTCGTTCTTGGAGCCGTTTCGATTTCCATTGCTCTTCCCTTTACAAGCAACAACCGGATGATAAAGTGTTTTCGGAATGTTTGACTACTTGCCGTCATACGTGAACCAAAACCAAATAACTCATTTACTGGCAGCACGATCAGTAACACCGTGTTCAAGGCACCAATTCGCACGAGCGGTTAACGGAAACTCTTATCTTGCAACAAGATTTACTGATAAGCCACCGAATAAGTATGAAAGTTTAACAGGACACACTGGGTGTGTTAATACGGTTGTGTGGAATGAGGCAGGGGACCTCATTCTGTCGGGATCAGGTAAGATTAGTTTTAGCATTGGAAAGAGGAGGATTAGGCAGAATGAATAGGCAAGAGATCTTAATTATTAATACCCGACTCTCGCTGAGGATTGTCGTGTATGTACAGATCGTTGATCGAAACCTATGTAATTGATTGAGATTTAAGATTGGCGCATGCTAAATTACTTGCGGGAAAATCTATGGAACGAAACAACAAAGCAATTTCGTCCCCATTGATTTAAATGGGGCGACCACCTTACTCGTATTGACACATTCTTTTCTCTTTCACGCATAACTCCACGTTCAGATGACTGCAAACTAAACATTTGGACTCCGTTCACTCACCCGTCGCGTTCGCTTCGCCATTCAATCGTATCCGGACACACTGCGAACATTTTTTCGGCACGATTTATGGCCAACACGGGAGACCGTCATATAGTTTCATGTGCAGCAGATGGAATTATACGGTTCACAGACTTGAATAAAGTTACCGATAGCGGAATCGGATGTCCATCACCGCCCTTTAGGTGCCATAAAGATTTAGTGTAAGCGACCATTATTGCGGATTTGTAAATCAGATTTAAGCATTGGCAATGAGAGGCATTGGAGAGTGGTGCAAAGTTTTAACTTGCTAATTAATTACCAACGTTTTTTTTTTTAAATTTATTTCCATTTATTTTTACCTGTTAGCTATGAAGTGATGCCCGATCCTACCGATAGCAACGTTTTCTTTTCTTGCTCAGACGACGGTTGTATAAATCTCTTCGATCTCCGCGTCTCAACCTCATGTACAGTAGATAACTGCGAACGACACGTGTTTATCGATATAAACCAATGTCGCCCATCTCATCAGTCTCGTATAAACAATGCATCTGATTCCGCGTCCAACTCTCAATCCAACTCGCAACCTAACTCGTCATCTTCTACACGACAGGGACAAACAAGCCAATCAACGGCTCAGGAATCATCTAGAAGAAGGGACAGAACAAGGCGACGACCATTTACAGGATTGTTTACTTATGGAAGCGCCGTCACGGCGATTAGTATCAGACCAGATAATCCCGTTTATCTTGCGGCAGCATGCTCAGATGAAACAGTTAGGATATACGACAGACGGTTCGTTCGCCCGCCGAGCGATAATGCATATCATCGGGAAGGACAGGTTTATCAATTTATTCCATCACATCTTAAAAGTCGGCATCGAAGAGAATCTGCCAATGGGACCGGAAGACTAAGACCTTCCGCCATCCACTCTCATCCTCACAAGATGACTTCACTGAAATTTGATCCAAATGGTAATGGTGACTTATGCGCCAGTTATTCGCGAGAAAAAGTTTACTTGATTCGTCCGCATGGAGGGAAGTTTGATAAAGTTGTATCGAAGAGGAACGGCGGAATCAGAGTGTTGAACAAGAGAAAAGGAAAAGGAATTGTTCATGGAGTTCCTGAAAATAGGAGCGCGCTAGGAGGTGGTGCGAATGACATGGAAGTTGATCTGAATGATATAAGACTGGACATATCCGATAGCGATGGTGATGAGGATGGTGGTGTGTTCGCATCTTCTATTAAGAAAAATGTTGACAATTTCATGAGTGAAGACGATGATACCGTTTCGACTCTATCGCCATCCCCGTTGCACAATGTTACTGCATCTCCAGCACACGATCGTTTGGCCGACACGAATGTGAAGATAAAATACACAGCCTCATCTTCTTATTCATTTTCAACTGAAGTTGACACAAACATAGACGAAACTGTCTCTACAACGGAACTTTCAGATCTTCTATTACCGAAATCCTCATCAGCAATGTCACCTTCCTTAATAGACGACTTTTACTCTAGCACAACTCAATCGCCATCATTTTCATTCAGCAGCGCACCTAATCCCATGCTTGATCGTCTTCCTACTTCACCAACTCCCCACTCGTCTGTCCAGACGCCACCTTCTGCAGCCGGCTCATCCGTAGGGAGTTCAAATACTACTACTCCCAATATATCTCGATTAGATACGTCGAATTCCGATGAGTTTTGGTCGGAGATTGTAATGACAACAGCACCTGATGTCTTGAGGAAAGAGGAGAATGCCGAAGAGGCCGAAGAAGAAGAAGAAGATGATGATGACGACGATGACGACGTGAAGAGTTCTGATGATGAGAGTGGAGCTTCTTTTGACGGAGAAGTCATGGATGAGGATGTGGTTATGTCTTATGATGGGCATTTAAACGAGAGGACTATGGTGGAGTATCTATAGATGTTTGGGTGCAGAGTATGAAAATAGGGGCTCGAATAATAGTCAGGATAATTATTAGAAAATTATCAAGTGAAAATGAACGTCGATAGATTTATATACATACCATTATAGTGTAATAGGAGGATACGAAACATCTAATTCAACCTTATCCGTCAACGTATTCCTAAACATAAATGACTCATCGTGTTTCTGTCTTTCTGTTTAGATAAAAGAAGCCAACTTTTTCGGAGGCCGATCAGAGTACGTTATGTCTGGATCAGATGATGGGCGAATCTTTGTATGGGAGAAGTTGACGGGAAAGTTGGTTAATCTTATGATGGGAGATCGTGTAAGTGATACGTGACCCAACCCGGTTTATTCTGCATGGCAGTCTTAACTTTCGCCTTTTTTCATCATTACTGTTGTCATTATTATACTCACTCCTGTCTTCTTTTCACAATAGCGCGTCGTCAACTGCATACAGCCACACCCGTTTTATCCGATTTTAGCAACATCAGGGATAGATTATGACGTGAAACTATGGTACCCAACTGCAGATAGTCCATATGACGTCTCAGAAGCCGAAGATATTGTAAAGAGGAACAGGGATCTGTCAAGAGAAAGTGCGTCACCCTTTTTGGGCGAACGGGTTACGGTGCCTGTACCTGCAAATATGTTTTTCCACTTTTTGTGTAAGTGTTATGCGACAAAGAGATGTTAGGTGCACAGTACTGAATCAATTTCTAATCTGTATTTGCTTTTATAGCCATGTTGAACGACTCGTTCGATCCATTTTTCGACTCTGTCGATTCAGACTAACGGATTTCAGGACATTATAGTAACAATTTCAAGTAAATATTGTTTATTTGTAATTACTGGTATATATTTAAGTTATTATTTCAATTTTAGTGTTTATTGTAGTGTACTTCTTGTGCCTATTGTCATGTGGGCCCTTTTCTCAATTTCACTCATATTCGCATGTGTAAGTTTATCATTTAATAACTATTTTCTTAGATCACGTTATTTGGCCGATGTTCACACGTTAGAGCTGTATAGGGATGCATTCGTTTGATAGGGCGCGATTGAAATCATCGTAATAATTGGAAACATGGAGGGAAGTATTATAGTCCGAAGGTCTGCCGGTTCCGGAAATACCTCAGGATAGGGGAAGGATATAATTGAAACTATCAGTTGATCTACGCCCAACTGATCATTCAGCAGGAGAGTATGCATAAACATATTTCTTATAGTCATAAACTGGAATAGTTGTATCACTATCACTTTATTGTTTATTGGAGCACTTCTTGGTCAATTGTACGATACGTGATTTAAAACGTTAGAGCCACCCAAATGGATTTTGATCCAACAATTATTCAAATTCCGCGCGACAGATTGCAATCACAAAAGTTCAATGGTACCCAACCAACAGACCGCAAACGCGAAGTCCAGGAGTATACAGTAAAAAAGGCACGTCTTTTGGTATTCTCCCTCGTTTTCCAAAGGTATTTCTGAACTTTTGACAATCACCTGTGGCATCATATAACAAACGATGCGCCTTATCCGAGAAGACTTTCTTCAATGAAATCGTGAATTCTTCAACAAAACTTTGCAACAGAATTTATTAAGGAATTGTCTTAGTATGGTGTCGGAAGTCAAAACTCGACAATTACACTCACAACCAAATAAAACGATATTTGTACCATTCTGAAACCAATTCGCTGTACTTTTGGGAAACATACTGATGAGTTGAAACAACTGATCGCTATGAAGTTGTGCTTTGGTGAAGTAACGATATGCGTGTATGACCTATTACCACTTCATCTAACTGCACGATAATAGGTTTAGAACATATCATTACTATCATCATTGTTCTCGGAGAGTTTAATCAATTAGCTTCAAATTTTGGAAACTAGATTTCATGTTCTTGTCGTTCGAATTACTTGCCCGTTGTTGTCTTTTTGTTTTGCGGCATTGTCAATGCACTATTTATTACTAACAAAGAGATTTAGACTGAAAACCATTCAGTATTTGCAAATCGAAAACGAATTTGGTTACAAGGGACTCGAAATTAGTCCTGAAAAAGTTTAAATCACCGTGTTTTGCGAACGACATCATTGCCCATCGAAAAAAAAATAATTCTAAACTAGTGCGGCCGATGGAGGATGTCTTGTCTGAAAGTTAAAAAAAATTACTGTAGTTAATGTTTTGTCTGACAATTTTTTACAGTAGATGTACTTACTATTACTATGCGAAGTATTTACTGTAAACAAATTTCATTTTGTGAAATAAAATACCGGCAGCGACGCTTTTAGTGACAAATTAATTTTATTATTAAGTTTAGATGACGTACATGAATATTACTATGTAATATGAACACATTGAGAAAGAGCAGGAAAAATTGACAGAGAAGCAGGGCGTTCAAGGGGGGAAATTTGCCGGCTATAAAGCGAGAATGGCAGTTCCTTCCCTGCTACTCTATTATTAAGTAGTTGCCAAGTCGGCCAAATGTGTAGAACACGTTTAATTCAATTTCAACTTTAAAATAAAAATGCCTAAACATTCTGATTTGACTGAGTGTTTCTGCATAAAAAATCGGGTTCAACGTGAGCATTGTTCCTCATTTAGTAGGATAGTATTGATGCATAATTATTAATGATTATGTCTGAGAGCAGTTGGCGCGTTCTATTCCTGCTTGCATCACATATTATCAAAAACACGATGCCGACAATAGTATCTTAACAGAAAAGCCACACTCTGCACAAATTTGAGTGTGGCGAAACCTCTAAATATTTGGTATTACTGTATTTTGTGTGAATTCGTTTCAATAGAAGAAACCGCTCTTTTGGAACGATCCACTGAAACTCTGACTTATAGAATTTGCGACACTTAAATGACGAAATACTTGTTGTTTGCATGCGGTTGATATACATGTTATCTACTTTTCTCTCTCGCTTCGAATCGGTCAGCTACGCGGAAAACCTAATAACTTGCCCTTCTTTGCCTCACTTTCGAAGTCCTCTCAAAATCCGTCAAACTATATCTCCTCGCCCATTAAATCATTAATCACTCTTTTATCCCTCGCTATTCAAACATCATGTTCTTTAATGGCATTAGCTATTTCAATAGTTTCAATAGTGGCCCTAGCAGAATTTGATTTAAGACAAATTCTCCCATTAACCGCAACTATCACTTCAAATTTGTATTTCTGGCGGAGACGCGTCCATATCGGATGCTCTTCATTTCTCAACCTATAAGATCAAACCATTAGTAACTTTCGTAGGCTGATATTTAGGTCATATACATATACAAAGAGTAATAATCACCTTCTGCACAATCCAAGGGAACATTTGATCATATATATATATCCCTTATCTAAAACTCCATAACCATCAGCACGGTTAGTCGCAGGATTGATACATGTCAACTCTGCGTCTATATCTTTATTCGCTTCGGATATTTGAGCATATATTAGAGTACCAACCTTTAGCAGGTAAAATGATAATGCCATTGTCGAATAACCTCGAATGTTTATTATTGTATTTATATTAAAGACTCGCATATTAATTCGATTGATTTCTTAAACTTACTTTCAAGTTTGGTTTGGATCTCCTGGTAACACCCTCAAACGCCAAGCTATCGAGAACGGCAGCATGTGCGGCCCCAATATCGACTCTGTAGTATTCTGATGTTTTTGCTGTTATTATTCCAAGAACGTCCTCTCCTGCCGACGGAACGTACTATATATTAGTAACGGAAATAAGTACCAGTATACTAAGATACTAAGAAGGCATCTTATCGTCAAGTCGCTATACGATGGCTGTCATAGAGAATGACTAAAAGAGTCAACGCACTCTAATTATCAATTGAAGTTTCCCCTACCCGTCTTTGATTACTTTCGACAAACCATTTCCTTTCAGTTTCATTGCTATGAGGGATACCGGCTTTAGTGCTCATAGCAGAATCTTCATCTTGCCTTATCAAACCAGGACCTAATATCAGTTTCGGATCAGGTTCACCAGGTAACAATATCAAATTTAGCGGAATAGAATCACCAGGAAGTACGTATGAAGACATTTTGACAGGAATAAATTGAAACCATCTCACAGAAAAGCCTAAATGTTTGTACAACTTGAGAATTTCGCTGACACATGACTCGTAGTGCGATAAAATTAAATCCCCCCCACTAGCGCTAGTACTAACAAGTCTTCAACGGGTTGATTTTTATCACGTGATACATCACCTGCTTATGATTCATCTGATGAATGAAATGGGATTAAATTAACAGGAAGAGTATGTTGCCGGCATCGTTCACAAATGCGTGTAAACGTTATGCAGGAATATTTGGAAATGTAATTTCTCAACGAAGAATCCATATTAAACGAACGCCAAGAGTTAAAGTGGAATTATTAGAGGACGTTCACAAGCTCGGGCGGAAAGGTCTCTCTCGATTTGTCACAGCTGGAAGTTCTATGACCAATATACCCGTTATTTCCATAATCATATTCTGATGTTTTTTCGCAAACTCTTCCAGGGGATGTCGTGTCGGTTGCAAGAGGTTCGTGCTTTTCTTTAATTGTATATGGTTCTTGGTACATCTGTATCTAAGACTGTAATTTTAGGTCACATGAGAGGATTTTTGTTTCCTCAGAGACAGGCTAAATACGTCATGAAGCGCGTTGGAGTTCGTAAAGATCACAGCAAAAAAGATGAACCAGACTCGGAAGAAATGAAATACTTAAAATTTAAAAACATCGTGCGTAGCTTTCACTATTTTGGTAAAAAAGCTTGTCTTCAAAGGTCCCGCTAATACGTTCTCGCCTTGCATGAAATAAGAAATTGCTCCCAGGGATTAAAGAGGCAGATTGTTCTCCGTTGCGATCTCATCAGTTGCAAGTTAATCTTGCCGTGCTTAATCATTTGCCGGACCTAGTATTCAAGAAGATATCAATTGCGACAGAGGAAGATACGCGGGCAATTTCCGGCTCCGTAACCATACAAGATGTGATGGATAAACTTGCGCAATACGGTGTCAAATTGGAAAGAGGAAATATAATTTGGCCAACGGGCACAGATGACATCACTCAATCCGGAGAATATCGTTGTGTTTTTACATTTCCCGAGTTCCGGATGAGAATTGCAAAAAAATTAGTTGTCCGAGGATTAAAGAGCAAGAAACCGGAAAAGAAAACTCGGGTAAAGCTATCAAAGGAAGCTTAATTTTTGAATAAACTTTTTCTTCACATTCTACAACTTTACGCTTTTCGTCTTGGGAGGTGGGGGAGCATATATATACAAGCTCTAAATTTCCTTAAGGATACCTCATAGCTAATTTGCTGAATTAGTGTATGCCGTTTCCTCGTATAAGAACTGGGTTAAGGGCTATGATTTGCACCGGGGAAAGCCACCGTGTTGGTGCTTACATATTATTTAATATTAATATTAAATTTGCTATATGAATTGACAACGGATCATTATATCCGAGTTTAGACAATAACTACAGCGTATCGCCAAACTTTGTGGGTACAGTTGCGTATTGCTTTGCAGGATACAATTACAACATTTACGGTAGTTGAATTTTCGTTTCAGAAAATCTTATATCATAAATTAATACAATGAGATTTGAATAGAATTACGCGTCATTCGAGTATTTGGAGGTAACAAGAATATAATCAAACGTTTCAGACAATATTTGAGCACGAACCCATGATGACGGATAGCGTTTACAGTCACTTGATTTTATGCGACCGTGGCAAAGTTGTTAAAGTGCAAGGCATCGTTTCAGCAGTTAAGCAATTTGTCCCAGTATATTGAATTGGTCGATCCGACTTTCACGTAAAAAGTAAACTGGACATTTTATGGTGAAAATACTAATAGACATAACAGAAATAAATTCGACAGTCGTTTTGTTAGATTTAAAGTTAGGCAATTCGCATTCCTTCGCGGTAACTACCCGTTTAATCTATGGTGTCAAATAGCCAGTATTAAAATTAATTTTTTCAATTTTTTAGAATAACAAATGGAATCATCCACCGCATGTAAACTTATTCTTGGCGAACATGGAATGCGAATTAATAGTGTGGTAATGCAGGCTTATGACTATGAAATAGAATCGCTTAATGTGCTAAATGTTATTGTTTAGTTACAGATATAAAAAGGTGTTTGTTATTATGTTATCTTACAAGGACCTTGCGGCGAATAAACGTGTCAGCAAATATATAGAACCAATTGTCGTTAGCGCTGGTTCGCTATTATTGTAACGGTAATATGTGCATATTGTAAGCTTAGTGTCATTACTAAAAGACAAAATAAAACACTTGATGTCGAGCCAATTATCCTTTATATTATAACCGTTTATTGTATTTATGTGTATATTTTTTTAGCCAATATAAACTCGTGTATTTTTACAGAGACCCAACCCGCTGAACAAGAATTTAATCTGAGCACCATCGCGCAAAATGAGTTGCACATTCATAACCGTTTGGATTCTTTGCCTTATATTTTGCAGAAAAGAATTAGCATTCGATGTGCAACAATATCAATGTAGACTAGCAAATGTCTAAATATTAATGCTCACCAAATAATCCTGGTGATAGTCTTCGGCGTCGTAGAACACACTAGCAGCGACTATTTCGGTTTCAATGTTACTGTTGTCATAAAGATTCTTATCACGCAGAGCTCTCTCTCGCACTTGTTGCGTCACTTGCTCGGCGATCTGCTTCTGTTCTTGTGAGTGATAAAATATCGCTGATCGGTATTGAGAACCAATATCATTTCCTTGTCGATATTTTGTGGTTGGATCATGAGTCTTATAGAAGTGTTCGACTAGCGTTGCATATGAAACCTTCTCGGGGTCGAACTTGATTTGAATGGCCTCAGCATGTTGAGTGGTGCCACTACAGACCTAGACAGTATGTGTAGCGAATGAAAACTTTGTAGAGTGACTGATGGCATAATCTTAAATCAAACACGCGAAACCATGTCAACCAATATTTACCTGCCGATAAGTAGGAGTCGGCATATCCCCTCCGGTGTATCCAACTCGTGTCTCGATCCCCGCATCTTTAAACTCTTTCTTAAATATCTTCTCGACACCCCTATACACGGAAAAGTTTGACGCTAAGCATTCAGTCGGGAAATACAAAATCTGATTGATTGATAATGCCCGCGACGTACCAGAAGCAACCGGCAGCAAAAGTGGCTGTCTCAGTGTTTGACATTGCTAATCGGCTTAGTTTCGCAGTTAATGGTAAGTTGGTAAAATGACAAGTCTTATGTATGCTAAGTAGTCGATTGATATTTGCAAGGTGTTTGCAAGAAATCATCGACCTCTTCTCTCCGTTTATATAAAAGATTAAACGTCTGACTAATCCAAATCATTTCTTGTAGACAAAGTTGCAGCATGATGCAATCATCTCCAGTTATGTATACTCATATCTATCAATCAATTTACATTCTGAGAGGCGATCTGCCGATCAAAAATAGTAATAGTGGGGGTTACATCAACGTCTTTACTAATACATGTACCAAGGTTACATTTCCTCTCATGCTAATGATTTTCATTACCATATAAGGCTAGTCTTAATAACGATGCAAAAGATAGCAGTATACGTATAACCCAAACAAAAATCTGTAGAATGTGCTTACTAATCACCACTTAACGTGTTGATTCAAAGTCTTTGGCATAGAATTTATGGTTCATCTCTATCGACTTGGGATTTATTTCCCTACCTCATTCATGACATTTCAGCGACACTCCACAATATCAATATTTAAGTTTGGACTGTTGATATATTTTGCTTTAAAAATGTTTATTATTACATGTACATTTTGAGACGAGTAATATCTTTAAATTCATTTCTAACAAATGGACAAATATTGTGATAAAGGTGTTCTAATCCAATGAAGGTGGCGTTAATGTTGTGACCCGTTCTAATATTTGACCCGTTTCGGGATTGTCACATTAGAATAATCTCTTGCACCAATAAAGTACACAATTTATGTGATAACGTCGCAAAAATTTGTGACACTTTTGAAACGGGTTGACCCGTTCTCAGAATGGGTCAAATCCCAGAACGTATCGCAACATTGATATTAAAATGGATAAAATTTGGCAATTTCAGAAACACTTGCTTTTTCTAGTCTTCAACAAATTAAATTCGGTATGATAATAAGCACCATCTGGGTTCTGACAATTCCAGGATTAGCTGCCTCGAATAGAAAATATTGATATTTTTGTAAACCATTTAATTTTTTTTAACAAAAAAATACTAATACAGAGTTAAAATCTAAGTATTGAAAGTTTTTTCTGCTGTCGTAACACTGAGCTTTGTTTAATCCCACTGTACTTGATTTTTTCACGACGTTAACAATATGACCTACGCGGTCTACTGATATAGTTTTTTAATCAATTTAAAACTACCATCACATTTGAATTCAGTATGTCCAGGTACCGTGAAATTTAATTCGATACTTTTTTAATAACCACAAATTACCAAATACAAATAAAATTAAATGGTAACATTGTTTTTATTTTGACACCCGCGTTGTTACAAGTAATCTTTAAATGTTTCTCATTTTTATTCAGTTTCTTTATTTCATCAAATACCAGGCTCTAGAACCTTTTCCAACGAATTTGTTTCCATCGAGAACATAATTAGTTTGTTCGCGTACTAATTCATCTTGAATACCAAATAATGTACTTTACGGAGATTGAGGGAGTAAAGTTTACTTACCCGTTGATCCGAATGGGGGACGGG